AAGCCTTGAATGAAGAACATTTAAAGAAAAATATCCCTATGGGGAGATTTGGAGAACCTATTGATGTGGCACATGCAGTTTTGTTTCTCTTAGAATCACCCTATATTACAGGGCATGTTCTGGTAGTGGATGGGGGATTACAACTCACGATGTAATTTACAGATTTTTCAGTTTGAATGGTGATTAGAATCCGGCACACATTGTTGATTAGACAATCACATCTACATGGGTGACATTTGCTAATCAAACCTATTCATGCTACAAATGTTGATTTCCACCTTTATATCTGAAAAGAATGTTTGACCAATTGTGTTTTTTAAATGGTATGTACCTTATAGACTGTAGCAATTTTAGTATACAGAAATTTTTCAAGTGCTATAAACAGGTATTACTAATTTATATATTTTGTCTCAAAAGTGGAAAAAATTATAAAGTTTAATTTTCATGAGTTACTTTATTACATTAGGTTGAATGCTCTAGAAGTTAACTTTGTGGGTCATTGCCAAAATAAGAGTATTTATATGGCATTGGTTAGTTGTCAGTACTTTAGCAACCTTGCTAAAGTTAAATATTACATTTCTTTTTAATATGCTTTGGCTGATAAGTTTTTATACAGGTTGAAAAAAAACTTGTATCAGTTTGATGCAAACATGAATTTAGAGTCTTTATCCCTGATTGAGCTGCTGGGCAAAATAGTCTACAAACATAAGTGTGGTATAGTTGATCTGTCCTGTTGAAATTCTCAACGATGATGAGCAGTAAGCATTAACTCAGAGAAACACAGTATCTGCTAAATTGACCTCATTAATGTAGGAAGTGTAAGTGTTGTGTGTTTTCTTAAATCCACAAAACAGTATAGCAAACTACTTAAAAATAGTATGAAAAAATGATATTTTAAAAATTGAGAGTATTTTGAATATGATTTTTACCCTAAAATTTTAGTTAGTAAACAATTACTTACAATCATAAATGATAAATATGCACTACCAATGGATTAGATATCTTACAAGGAACAAAAGCATTAGTTTTAAAAGAAATATTTGAGAATAGAGATAAAGACACAAACTCTATGTAAAATATCAGGGAACATCTCTTTTTCATTGAACTATTTTGTGGGGAATAGTGTGATATTTTGATGTCACAGGATTCATGGTCATTTTTATTACTTAAAATGTTTTAAATATTTACTGCACTTTAAAAAGTAATCCTTTTATGGTTTTATTGGAGCTGAACATTATTTTATGTAAACATACATAATTTTACATTGAAAGTCAGTGAAAAAACATAGGATATAGTAATAAATGCAAAGTAATACAAAGAAATATAAATAAAATGAAAAGTAATAAAGGAAAATCTATGTTTTAAATTAATTTTGCTGATTCCTTAAAAATTTCTTTAGAATTTATCTTTGAAATAACCTTCTTTATATATAGGAGTCTTTTTAGGATGTGAGAATGTCTGTTAAGTGTGAATAAAATTAGATTATTAATCAAATTGTCTACTAAATGGAAGCATGGTAACTTACAGAATTTATCAGGCGTTAACAATTCCAGGCACATATAGGAAATGCAACATTAAAGATGGTGCCTCTAAGCTAGGTGAGTTTATGCAGACAGAGCAGGCCATTTTCTAACGCTGCCTCACCTGCAGGCTTTTGGCCACCTGCACTTCTTCATTGTGACATCCTCTCAGGCTGAATTCCCTTCTTTGGACACCTCATGTACTGTAATTATCAAAGGAGCTAATTTGACTGGTGATTAGGAAGAAAGCAACGTATTTCATGGTACTGATGACACTAAGATGTAGGCTACAGATAGGTTTAAACTTTAAGTGTATATTTA